GAATATCGTTTAGTTATCTAAGTAAGGATTCATTCACGAAACTGTACACCGTGTATGTCAGGCCCATATTGGAGTATTACAGCACCAGTATGGAACTCACACCCCGTAAAAACACGTCAAGAAATTAGAGAAAGTTTAAAGATTTGAAACAAGACTAGTCCCAGAACTGAGGGGTTTGTCCTATGAGAAGAGGTTAAGGGAGCACAACCTGACAACACTGGAAGACAGGAGGATAGCAGAGACATGATAACAACATACAAAATACTGAGACGAACTGACAGGGTGGATAGGGACAGAATGTTTCAGAGGTGTGACACAGCAACAAGAGGCCACAACTGGAAGTTGAAAACTCAGATGAGCCACAGGGATATTAGGAAGTATTTCTTCAACCATTGAGTTGTCAGAAAGTGAAACATTCTGGAGAGTGATGTAGTGGAGGCAGGATCCATACGTTGCTTTAAAAAGAGGTATGATAAAGCTCATGGAGCAGGGTGAGTGTGAACCTAGTAGCGACCACTGAAGACGCGGGGCTAGCAACTGTGACTCCACCCATGCAACCACAATTAGGTGACTGAACACATGCACACACACACACACACACACACACACACATATACACACACGGGCAGGGCCAGAAAGCATGACTCGACCTTATAACCCCATTAGGTGAGTACACACACAAATACACACACACAAGAGCTATGAATCGACCCCTGCAACCACAATTAGGCGAGTACACACACAAACACGCACACAACAGGGGAGAAATCGGGAGGTCAAATTGATTCTCAAGACAGAAACGGTGCAGAACAGGATCATGCAGGAGAAACCATGGCTGAAGAAAATCAACTTACAGGAGGGTGTTCTTAGACCATGACAGAATGAGAACAGAACGACATCAGCTGAGGGAGAGGACACGGAAATGAAAGAAGCTAGGAAGAGAAACGAGCATAGAGTCAACATGGGACAACCTGAGCCGGGAGGAGCAACAACTGCAAACACTCACAGAACTACCTTCAGAACCCCATAGCCAAACATATTATTCCATTACTAACCACACTTCACACTCACAGCGCCCACCCCACAGTACGCAGTAGAATCCTAAAGCACCCTGCCAGGTCCTCCACTCCTCCAAGCCCCACAAACTCCCCAGAATACAGTGTCTGAGAGGAAACTAAAGGTATGGTATACCAACGCTGATGGATAACCAGTAAGTGGGAAGAGTGTCACGATAGAATCAAAGAGTCATCACCAGACATAACAGATGTCGTCTTTCCAACTGGATACCAGATCCTGAAGAAAGACAGAGGGAACAGAGGGAAAGGAGGAGTGGCACTGCTCATCAAAAACCAATGGGATTTTGAGGAGCTGGAGAGAGGACACAGGGTAGAGGAAAGAGACTATATAATAGAAACACTTCAATCTGGAGGTCCAAAGGTAGCAATTGCAGTGATATATAACTCACCACAGAATTGCATAAGGCCAAGGCAAGAATATGATGAGAGTAACAGAACAATGGTTGACACACTGCCTGAAATGGCCAGGAGGGTCCATGTGACTTCAATCACAAAGAAATTGACTGGGAAAACTTGGAGCCATGTGGGGGCTCAGAAACGTGGAGGGTTAAGATGAAGGAGGTGGTACTGGATAACCTCATGTACCAACATGTAAGGGACACTATCAGAGACAGGGGAGAGGATGAACCAGCAAGAATGGACATAATATTCGCCTTGAGTAGTGCAAATACTGAGGACATCACATACGGAAGATCCCTCGGGGTTAGTGATCATGTGATTCTGAGTTTCGAATACATAGTAGAGTTACAAGTGGATAGGTAAGCAGGAAAGGCAGGACGAATGAAGCCAAGAGAGAGGACTACACAGACATGAGAACTTTCCTGCACAAGATTCAATGGGACAGAGAAGTGGCAGGGAGATCAGTAAACGACATGATGGAATATGTGGCAACAATATGCAAGGATGCAGACGAGTGGCTTGTACCCAAAGGCAACAGAAATAACGAGAAGTCCAGGACGAGCCCTTGGTTCATCCAGAAGTGTAGAGAGGCCAAAGCCAAGTGTGCTAGACATCTACTGAAACGTAACAGGGACTATTATTCGTGTATGGAATGTGTTTAAGGGCCAATTGAGCAAGACGACGTGTGTAAAGGCTAGAAGAGTAGTTAGGTTTACTGTCTAGTGTATACATGGCTATGATCTCTACTACGAGAGTAAAGAACGTTGTTAGTGTCAGCAAGGTGAACACTTTTTATGTTCTATAAGGCTATCATTAAGAGAGCGGCGATTTTCACCATGGTAATGAAGGTGGTAGATGGAGCAGAAAATGGAACAGACACGGAAGATACCAGTGACAGAGATATGGGCTAGAGTGTTACGAAGTATATTAGCCCGGCGAAATGCAAGCTTGATATCTAGAGGACGGTGGGTGATAATAAGATTTTGAAGATTGGAAATATAGGAAAGGCAAAGTACAAGAGGTTTTTGTTGAAGTAATGGGTTTAGGAAGAAAAGAAACTTCGTTTTAGCATGGGAGTAAGAGAATTTATGAAACTGGAAGCGCAGCTTAGACGGGTGAATGACTTGTGAATGGTTTCAGTTTTCTAGTCGAAAATTTGAGGATCACAGCTGCGAAGAGCGACGAGAGAAGCAAGAATACTTTTCTTAACAAGATTATAAGGAAAAGCAGTGAATGAACATGCCACTGTGCAGAGGCTTTTAGTAGACGAAATGCGAAATGCCTGTCACAGAATGGACTAATGTGTGTGTGTGCGTGTGTGTACTCACCTATTTGTGGGTGCAGGGGTCGATCCATAGTTCTTCTGTGTGTGTGTGTGTGTGTGTGTGTGTGTGTGTGTGTGTGTGTGTGTGTGTGTGTGTGTGTGTGTGTGTGTGTGTGTGTGTGTGTGTTGCCCGTTCTCACCTGCAGCAACCAGTTGCACTTCTTAGAAAGATCCACATACTGAGACTGATGGCTATGACCCTCATAATCCGGATGGAGAGTTTCCTGCACGACTTGAGGATGGAAGCCACAGAGGGCCTGAAGGACGGCACCTCTGCATCAGGAAAGACAACCTCGGCGGACTTGATAATGTATGTCTCGTGCAACTCGATCAGCTTAGTGAAGCTGAAGAGATACCCAGACTCTAAAATTGCATTTTTACATAATTTATTATAATAAAGAGAATAATAATAATAATAATAATAATAATAATAATAATAATAATAATAATAATAATAATAATAATAATAATAATAATTAGAATAAGAATACGTAATAATAATAATATAATTAATAAAAGTAATAATAATTGCAGCAAGAAGTAGCCATAGAGCATCATGGCCGACGCGGCAGGTTGTGTAGCGGGCTAGCTGCGGGATTTTCAAGGATAGCTCCTGGTCAAAGAGGCTGACCAGGTCCCTACTTAACAGAACTCAGTGTGAATGCTTTGAGAAGATACCAGAGCAGCGAACGGACATCCCAGTGCATCGTTTCAGCATAAATAGTTGAAGTGTTGTGCAGTTTTAGAAGGTTTGGTGTTGTTGAGTCAGGACCAGTCAGCGCCTCCCCCCCCTCTCCGCTGGGGGGGGAGGGGGAGGGCGTGTGTAGTAAACAGTGACCCTCTCACAACGCCTCACCCCTGCCCGTCTCTCCCGCCTCACCCACCCAACTACCAGCGCCACCCCATCTATAGAGGGTGCTTCTCCCCTAACCCACGATGTCAGCGATGGCACTGCAGGGAGTGCCGGGCTCACAGGAACTTCTACTACAGGGACAGCATCGTGGAGTTCGACCACGAGGCAGCTGTCAGGTGTGCCACAGGCAGTGTGTACTCAGTTCCTCAAGCTTCAACATCCATGCACACGAGGGCCTGGGATCTTCAATCAACTTGGCGTCCACCAGGACGCTGACATGTCCCTAGGGCAGCTCTCCATCGGGCTGCTAACAGAGTCACTGGCTTCTTGGACCTCTTGGGGAGGGTCGATGGTGCTCGTGCAAACAGCAGATCCCGGGGCAACTTGCTGCTGTTTGCAATGGCTGTCTGCCGAGGAGAGACAGGCACCTAGCAACATCTGTTGTTGGGGCATTGGATGAATTCCCTACTATGTTTGTTAACTGCTCATTACTCTGTAATTTGTCTATGATTGTAATCATGTCATAACGTGTTTATCATTCATTACCTCTGAAACTTGTCATGATTGTGACCAGCTCTACCTGGAGCTCATTACCTTTGTAAATTCTCATGATTAATGTGTTTGATTCATTACCTTTGCAATTATTCATGAGTGTGACCAGCTCTACCTGGAGCTCATTACCTTTGTAACTTGGTCATGATTATGACCAGATCTAGTTCATTACCTTTGTAACTTGCTCAGCTATCAAAAACTTTGGAGTCCAGTCCCTGGACCAATTATGTACCTCTGTAATCTTTTGACTACCGCCCACAGGATGGGTATGGGGGTGCATAATAAACATATTAAACTAACTAACAAGTAGTAGCAACATCAACAACAATCATCTGAATCAAAATATCCTATAACAAAAAAATAATAACGTATGGTATATCAATTACAACAATCACAATAAGCGACCACCGCTACAGCAACAACATCAATAATAACAACAAGGACAACGATCATCACAGCAAATATAACGACCAGATATAGAAGTAACACGCTTCTCCTTGCCAGAAGCTACATAACTCTCGTGAGTCTTGACATCCTTATCGTAGCGATCCTTCTGGTCCTGATCCAGGCAGAAGGCAGACCCGGAAGTAAAGACACGACTCACCTACTCAGTCCATTAATTGATGAATCAACAAATTAATCTACTTGAATAATTAAAACATAATAAATGCATCTATCCATAAAATCAATTAATCATCTTCAAGCAACTAAGAATTAATAAAGTTGGTAGAATTACCGACAATATGTAAAGTAAAAGGACACAAGTGCAACTAATGTGACATTTTATTGTGGCAACGTTTCGCTCTCCATGAGCTTTGTCAAGCCCTTACAAACAGAACAGAACAGAACAGAGGACTCACAGGTAAGGACCCACTAGGGGCGAGGGGCAAGTGGGGACAGCTCGAAGAATAGTTGGTGAGAGGAAGTCTTGAGTCGAAGAGAGGAGTCAGGACTAAACCCAACAGCTAAGCCTTGGAAGCAGACGGAAACAGCAACACAAAAAACAGGAGAACACTCAGTCGTCCGGCTGACAAGCTATCTGCATCTTGCATTCTTGATGTTGATTGGCGGCTGGCAGAAGCTGGAGGCGTGGTCAAGGGAGGCTAGCTTCTTGATTGTTCAGGTGTCGTTAAAGTGTGAGTCAGGAGTTACATCATTTTTTCAGTGTTGGAGGCATTCCTTATGTTGTGCAGTTGTTGGGAGGAAACGATGAGTAGTCTTGTAATCTTGGGTCGAAATGCTGGGTCGGCTTGTAACTGGTCAAAGATCATCTTGAGTGCTGTGAAGGAGCAATGGGTTCTTTACGATTTGTAAACTCGACTGTACTGTCGAGTAATTTCTCGTACAAAGTGTCGACATTCATGGTGGGTTCTTGGTCAGGAGTCGTATAAAAAGTTATATCTTTCCAGTGCAGGTATTGATCTCGGTGTTGGTCTTCTGTATTAATACGTCGAGTGATGGCTGGTGAGGTTTTTGTTGGTGGTTGCAGCATTGAAGGTTCATTCAATGTTGGTGTCTCCTCTACAGAGTGTATAGAAGACTGTGGTGGAATCGTGGCTTCTGATTGGTCCATTTGTGTAGTGGTGAGTGGAGGCGAAGGAATGATATTTGCGCCGCCACGACGAGCCAATCGACGAATAGGAGGCGTGGTGCTGTCTTGGATGTTATCAAGTGAATGTTGATTAAAGGATTCAAAAGAGGATGCGTCGTCGTTATCAATTATTAATTCCTTCAAGTCATCTGGCGCTTCAAAACTGACGATCTTCGGGATTATTTTCAAAATCTCAGCTGATGGTGGACTTGCAGGGAAGTTAAATGATGGCATGTTGTTAAGTGCAAGAAGTTCATTAATAGTCGTGTTGAAAGAGCCAGGTTTTGCAGCATTTTGCATGTGAGCAAACATCATGCAGTAATAGAATTTGGTAGAGATATCATCAGGTGGAGGTTGGGTAGTGAGAGGTGGTGGAGACGACTGTTGAGTGGCTTGTAGAATCTTGGATGTTGTAGATTGAATCTTGGCAATTGCAGCGTATGTAGGAGAGGTTCCAGATGGCTTCTTTGTTTCTTCCTTCAGTTTCTTAGAGAGGATATCCTTACGCACTGGACATTTGGCTGCAAGAGTATGGTGATCACTCTTACAGTTGCTGCAAGTGGGAGCAGCAGTGGAAGTGCAAGAACGAAAATCGTGTCCTGCAGACCCACAGGTGGAACATATCTTCTTATTCTTCACATGGCAGTCGGCAGTAGAGTGACTGTACGAGTAACATGTCCAGCAAGGTGTTATGTACGTGAAGCGTTCAGGTTCAATCTGTCGAGGGTTGATGTAGTAGTAAGAGATGGCCAGGCCATCAGACAGTGCTCTGGTTGCAATGGAAACGTCTAGGAATGTGACCTTGAGCATTGAGGAAGCGTTGGGGATCTTCATAACAGAGTCAATCTTGGCCCAGGCGTTGAGGTCTTCAAGTGATGACTCAATTTCCTGGATGGCCCATGATCAGCCTGTCAAGACGTTTCATAAACACTGCACGTTTTGCAAGCATGTATGGTGACGTGGAGATGGTAAAGCAGCGGTCTTCTAAGGTCTTCATGGCAGTAGGTGTAAGCACTTTGTCAGCTTCAGCATCAACGAGAAAAGTGACGATGAAAGCTCCTTTCAGTGACGTAATCTTGGAGAACTTTGCGTGAAGACAAGTGTTGAGAGAAGCTGCAAGCTCAAGCTTCGTGGCGTCATCGACGACAGCAGACTTAGGCTTAATTTTCACACGATGTGACATCATGGAGATGGTAGAGGTGATATGATAACAAGATGAGGTGGGAAGACTTCACCCAGATGCAGGAGTGCAGAGGCCAACGGTCTGCCCTGGGGCAGGCAGCCAGCGACGCACAGAATCCTGGAGCCAAGATGAAGAATGTCCAGATATCAACCAATCAGGCAATGTCTTCTTGAAAACCCCTCGTTGAAGTGAATGTTGCTCTCTCTTGCTCGATGTGTGTCTACTCTCCTCGTCCCTCCTAATCACTTACAAACAGTACATGGACACAGAGGGTATATATTGGCTCAGAATGAGGTGCAATACTAGTGGTAGTAGTAGTAGTAGTGATATAAGTAGTAGTAATGATATAAGTAGTAGTAGTGGTAATACATTATGTTAGAACAGTTAACTTGCACATGAGTAAAAGGATATAAAAGCTATTACTTGGGAAACATAAAAATAGGTTAGACAAATTTTCTATTGGAGGCTGGATAGAGAAGGCCTGTTTCAATGTTCATTCTCTGTAATGTGCTTGTGTAGTATTAACAGGAGAGACTATGTGATGGCAGGGTTTACTGTTTTCAGGAGGATTCTTGCTAGGACTTCAGAGATGGTGAAGCTGCCTTTGTTTTGTTTAATTGTATTAGAAACAGCTATTAGTGAAGAGTCAAGGCACTTGCGTCTGCGGAAATTAGTTTCTTTGATCACTAGTTGGCGTCCCTGAACTTCATGAGATGATTGGTGGAATTTCGGTGTTGTACACTAGTTGGGCGTCCCTGAACTTCATGAGATGATTGGTGGAATTTCAGTGTTGTACACCTGTGTACAAAATTCCCAACCTTTTCAACTTCTCAGCCAATTTTTCACATGTTGCTAGCAACATGGGTAGGAATCATTTGTATTCGACTACTCACCCAGTTGTCCCAGGTCGACCACCGGAATCTTTCTTCGTGGAAACATCGCCTGTAATTTGTCCCTCGTTATCCTCAACTGTCTGTGAAAATAAATATTCTGTAAATAAATAAGAGACTAAATCATTGTGTGACTTTAGCGTTTCTTAAGGACTTTTTTAACACTGAATTATACTCTAATTCATATGTTTTAGTAAACCCCGAATTATAACTCTTAAAACTTATTAAACCCTGGACATTTACGAAATTAATTGGATCAATACTGCATAGGGTTGCATGCTGACAAAGACAACAAAATATAAACAAATCAACATCAAAATCATCAGTAATAAACCGGAATTAGCTTACACAGTGGTGTATCCCGAAAGGTGAATAGCTCTCGGTAGATACGTATTGAAAAGAGTAGCCTGTATATTTCTCAGTGTGTATACATTGATACTCTTGTTATGTAAATCCATATCTTAGAGATAAGTATTTTTGCTGTTTTGACTAGGAGGATTGCGGTCTTAATGATTCAGCTCTATTATTTTGTCTTCCCTTGTTTCTGATGGTCCCTCTTTTTTCTCTCACTATGATTCCTTAATTTACATCGATTGCTACTTCAACCCTGACTTCCTCTTTCATCTTCAATTTTTTCACCTCTCCACTCACACCAGATCTTTCACAATTGTCGTGTAGCGCTGCATAACCCGTGAGGGCCTAGCGCTTTCCCTGAATTTATTAATAATGATATCAACATTTATGGATATACAATAGGCATATGGCAGGGTGGATAGGGGTGCAATGTGGCAAAAGTTGCAAGTGTATGGAAGAGGTGATAGGTAACTTAAAAGCAATTAAAAGATTTATGATAGTGAAACTCAGATAAGGATTTGTGAGTCAGAGAAAAATTATTTTCTGGTAAAAGTAGGTCTTAGACAGGGATGTGTGATGTTACCAAGGTTGTTTAACATAATTACGGATGAGGTTGTAAAAGAAATGATTGCTTGAGTGTTTGGGAGAGGAGATAAGATAAAATTTGTTCATATTCTTATCTTGGAGAGTTAGCCACTCACCCAGGGTACATAAGAACATAAGAAACAAGGAACACTGCAACAGGTCTACTGACCCATGCGGAGCAGGTCCATGTCCCCCCTCCCCCGGATTAGCCCATTGACCCACCCAGTCTGGTCACTTCCACTCAATGATGGAGCACGGCACCAGACCCAGCAGCACAAGCTAGTCAGGTCCAACTCACACCCACCCACACTCACTCATGTATTTATCTAACCTATTTTTAAAACTACACAACGTTTTAGCATCAATAACTGTACTCGGGAGTTTGTTCCACTCATCCACAACTCTATTACCAAACCAATGCTTTCCTATATCTTTCCTGACTCTGAATTTTTCCAAATTGAAACCATTGCTGCGAGTCTTGTCTTGGCTGGAAATTTTCAGAACGCTGTTTACATCCCTTTTATTTATTCCTGTTTTCCATTTATACACCTCGATTATATTCCCCCTAATTCTACGCCTTTCAAGAGAGTGCAGATTCAGGGCCCTCAGTCTATCCTCATAGGAAAGATTTCTGATACATGGGATCATCTTTGTCATCCTCCTCTGTAAGTTTTCCGTTCTGTAATACGGTGACCAGAACTGAGCAGCATAGTCTAAATGAGGCCTAACCAAGGATATATAGAGTTGAAGAACAACCTGAGGACTTCTATTATTTATACTTCTAGATATGAAGCCAAGAATTCTGTTAGCTTTATTGCGAACACTAATGCACTGTTGTCTTGGTTTTAGATTACTGCTAACCAGAACTCCTAAATCCATTTCGCAATCAGTAGTATTAAGATCTATATTATTTAGTTTATATGTGGCATGGTTATTTAACTGTCCAACACTTAGAATTTTGCATTTGTCAATATTAAACTGCATCTGCCACTTCTCCGACCATTGCATCAGTCTATTCAAATCATCCTGGAGTGCTCTAGTGTCCTGATTAGAATAAATGGGACGGCCTATTATGGTGTCATCAGAATTTTGCATATGTCACTATTTATTCCCTCATCTATGTCGTTTATGTAAATTGTGAACAACAAAGGGTCCAACACTGACCCCTGAGGAACACCGCTTGTGACGTGCCCCCTGCTCACCATACAAAACATCCATACTTATTATTGCACTTATTACATACATAGAACACTTAACTCTGATATTAACCCTCCCCTCAAACATCTCCTTGCCAACCTCAACAGAACACATGACCATAATGCAAGGCACAGATCACTCTTTGATGTTCCTCGTGTCCATCTCACGCTATGCAAAAACTCAATGCACATAAAAGGCCCTAAAATCTGGAATTCATTACCTGTAAATATAAAAGAAACACTACCTGTTTATAAATTCAAGTCTCTTCTCAAAGTTCACTTACTCACTCAAAACCAAATAAATACTGAATAACTGAACCATATAAATTGAATATCCTAAATGTTACTCACAGTTATATCACACAAATGTTAAACCTAACTTTGTTATTTTTTTTTAAATACACTACCTGAATGAACAGCAATGCATGCAACCATATGACCTGTCTTTGTAATACTCATTTGTATTTTATAGTTATCTGTTTACAATAATATCTTATCACTGATTTCATCATTGCTTAGATAATCTTAAGTTAATTTTAAGCCAGCCCGTAATGCTATGCATATAAGTGGCTTTGGCATGCTGCTCTTACCTGTATTTTTTTGTACCTCTGTATGTATGCTAAAATTTATAAATAAATAAAAATAAATAAATAAATAAATTCTGATTTCACCCCATATATGCAAACTCTCTGCTGTCTATTTGTCAGCCATGCCTCTACCCAGGAAAAAATTTCTCCTCCTATTCCGTGTGCCTTAAGTTTCCTCAATAGCCTCTGGTGTGGAACTCTATCGAAAGCCTTACTGAAGTCCATATACACAATATCATATTCATTACCATGATCTACCTCATCAAACACCTTAGTGAAAAAAGTTAGTAAATTCGTAAAACAGGAACGCCCCTTTGTAAAACCGTGTTGAGATTCATTAATCAATCTGTGCCTGTCAAGATGGCTACGAATTGCTTCGGCAATTATTGATTCCATAAATTTTCTCACTATGGAGGTAAGGCTTATTGGCCTATAGTTCAAAGCCAAGGACCTGCCACCTGCCTTGTAAATAGGTATTACATTTGCCATTTTCCACTTATCAGGCACTATGCCAGTTTGTAGTGATATGTTAAAAATATTAGCCAAAGGTATGCTAAGTTCCTCTTTACATTCCTTTAACACCCTTACAAACAGTTCATCAGGGCCTGGGGATTTGTTAGGTTTTGTTTCTCTAGTTACCGCAATCGTACATAGTTTATTATCCTGTTCTACATAATCTATTATTTCAGGAATATCGCTAGTATTTTCCTGGGTGAAAACTGAGAGGAAGTAGGTATTGAGAATTTCACACATAACCTTATCACTGCCAGTGATCTGACCAGAGTTACTCTTAAGTGGGCTAATCTTGTTCCTAATCTTGCTTCTGTATACCTGAAAGAACCCTTTTGGGATAGTCTTTGGATCCCTTGCGACCTTAGCCTAATAATCCCTTTTTGCTTTTCTTATTCCTTTCTTTATTTCTCTCTTTAATTGAATATATTGATTTCTTAACTGGCTATCCCCTCTTTTGATACGCCTATATATGCCTCTTTTTTGACCAATGAGATCTTTTAATCTATTGTTCATCTATTTGAGATCATTTTTGTTAGATCTAATTTCCCTACTCGGAACAAAAGTTGTCTGGCCAGCTAGAACTATGCCCTGAAAAACGTCATATTAGCAACCAAGATCACCTACCTGACCCACAGTCAGGACATCCCAATTTAGCCCACCCAGGTAATTTTTCAGTCTCATGAAGTCGGCCAAGCGAAAATCTGGGACAGAGATTTGATTGCAGTTATCTGGGTAATTCCACGATATATTGATACTAAGTGATTTGTGATCACTTTCCCCAAGCTCATCATTAACCTCAAGATTATTAATTAGTGAACCTTTGTTAGCAAGAACCAAGTCAAGCAGATTGTTTCCTCTAATTGGTTCTGTCACAACCTGTTCTAAAAAGCAATCCTGAACCGTATCAAGAAAGTCACTAGACTCAAGATTTCCTGTCATATTGTTCCAATCAATTTGTCTAAAGTTAAAATCTCCCATTATCCCAACATTTTCATATCTAGATGCCTTATGAATTTCGTCCCATAACTTCTGTTTTTAACCCTAATGCTGCAGCCTAATTGTTTCCCACAAACACCCATACCTCTATAATCTAGCAGTTTAAATTCCTAGACAAGTCATCAATCACCCTCTCAACTGAATTGGCTAATGCAACCACTCCATCCCCAGAGAGATGAACCCCATCCCTTGCATACATATCACGTTTACCAAAGAATAGGTCCCAGTTATCAATGAATGGGATTGCAAGTTCCTTGCAGTACCTATCTAGCCAGCAATTTATACCAATTGCCTTAGACATCCATTCATTGCCCACTCCCTTTCTAGGCAAGATGCTACATATGACTGGGATCCCTCCCTTAGACCTAACTACTTCTATGACTGAACTGTACTTATCCAGCAGCTCCTCTCTCCTGCAATTCCCAATGTCATTACCCCCAGCACTAAGACAGATAAAGGCTTGTTCCCATTACCTGCCATAATATTATCCAACCTGCTGACTATGTCACCAACACAAGCTCCAGGAAGACACACTCTCTGTCTGACCTTTCTGTCTCTGTAACAAAATGCACGGTCCATATATCTTGCCTGAGAATCCCCTACTATTAAAATATTCTTACCTTGATTAGCAGGGGAATCAGTGGTACCTTCAACCTCACTAACCACAGAAGTACACTCGTCTTGGAGAACAGAGAATCGATTTCCTACCTTCACATCTTCTCTATTAACCCTCCCCATCTTCCTTCTTCCTGAACTGTGAACCACTTGCCACTTAGAGCGGCTGCCACTATCACTGCTGGCGACCATTCCCTCCTTACCAGCTATATCCTTCTCACATTCGCTCCCAAACTCATCTATGCGAAGCTTCAGCCTCCTATTTTCCTCCTGAAGAAGTAGAATCTCCTTCTTCAACACTTGAACCTGAGATTCTAAAACACTACAACAAGCAATGGTGCTTGATAACAGCCCACGCTAACTCCCAAGAGCTTATGCAGGTATGACCGCAGGTGACCACTGACCTCGGCGTACTGACCACTGACCTCACTTTCCAGCTTTTCCAGGATATCAGAACTGATATCAACAGCTTTTTTGCCATTCAAAGGGAAAAAAACAAGAAAAACTTCCTTCACTTGAACTCTTCCATCCTCCGTT